CCTTGATGCATACTCAATAATCCAGGTACGTACATCCCAAAAGGTTGATTCTGTTCATCTGAACGTGGTGTTTTCAGTGAGAGAGAATTTGCATTAATGATTAAGGAACTGACCTCGTAGCCCATTGTTCATTCAGTGATGCTAGTTTCAGTGATTGTGCAAATGTCCTGTTTATAAGGTTGGGGAAACCTGCAGTCAGCTGAGACTGAAGAAGTCACATGAACAAGTGATGAAATGTTTCTCCCACTAAAAACGCTACATGCAGATGAACAGAATCAAATTTTTGGGTGTTATTAATATTATTAAGGGCAGCACTGACTTGTTCAGACAAGTCTACAGTGGAGCTTAACCACTGAGAGGCCTGAATGCTTCCTTGCTGCACAAACACTTTACTAAAACAAACAACAGAATTAGAATGAAAACAATAGGATTTGAATGAAAAAACGAAATTTCAATGAAAAGAACAGAATTAGAATAAAATGAATAGAATTTGAATCAAAACAATGGAATTAAAATGAAAATGACGGAATTTGAATGAAAACAACAGAATTTGAGAACAAACAATGGAATCTGAATGAAAAGAACAGAATTTGAAAAAACAAAAGAATTTGAATGAAAAGCAACAATTTGAATGAAAACAATGGAATTTCAATGAAAAACATGAATTAGAATGAACAGACCAGAATTTGAATCAAAACAATGGAATTAGAATGAAAAGAACAGAATTTGAATGAAAACAATGGAATTTGAAAAAAACAAGAATTTGAAAACAACAGAATTAGAATGAAAACAAGGAATTAAATGAAAACGAACGGAATTTGAATGAAAACAACAGAATTTGAATGAAACAACAAATTTAATGAAAAAAGGAATTTGAATGAAAAACGAGAATTTGAATGAAAACAACGGAGAATTGAATGTAAAACAGAGTTTGAAGCCTTTGGTGCTGAAGAACTGACTAACAGTATACAGTCAGCTGATGAAGCAATGTGCCTCCTGCCAATGAATGGATTTTCTCTTGTTTCACTAAGACCAAAGGTTGCTGTGTATTGTTGAACTTCTTACCTGTTGCTAAAATATCAGCTTACTAATATACATGGAGGCTACTACTGAACAAATGTCAATGAAAGCACTGACAGTAAGACATATGCAATCTTGATTCCTGGAGGTTATGACCCAGGTCATAATTTTGTGTACTGCATTTACTTCTCCACACCTGGAGCAGTGGTGTTCATTTAGTAAGCAGTTTAATGTAATTTACAGGTTAAGGCTGACCACTGGTTCGAGATTAAATGGGTCTGGCTATAAACTGGGACCTGTCAAGACTGACAGATCCTGCCTGCTTCCTGCTTCCCACATATCTCTGTGCGTGTGTTCTTGACTAATTTTCCTGCATCATTTTGGATTTCCATGATAGGCGAGTTGGTTGTTTTCTTTGTAGAATGTTTTGTTTCTTGACAATTTCTTCCTCTAAAAATAAATAAAATATTCTGTAAAATATTTAATACACCTGTGTGATTTGATGTTTCTGTGTTCATGTCTACAGGAAATAAAGCTTGTTTCCAGCTGACACCCTTACAAATTTATTCTCTGTAGATGTGAACATTAGTTATCGTCACATCAACTCAAACACATGATCACAAACTTCTGTGTCATTTGATTGGATGTCTGTTGTCTTTCTGTCGAATATTGAAGCCTGTCACTGTTCTCTTCTTACAGCCTCACTGAGTTAAGAAGACTGCAGATGTACAAGAAACACTGGGTCACTGATTTCACACTGTGTTATACTGGGAAAGCAGCCTGGACTGAGTCCAAGCCTCTACTCACTTGAGAACCTCCAGTGTGTGATGTGGGCTGTCCACAAGCTCAGACAGCTGCTTCACATGTGATTCCTGCAGGTTGTTCAAGGTCAGGTCCAGCTCTCTCAGATGGGTGTTGGACTGAAGAGCTTTGAACAGATAATCACAGCTGGTCTCTGAGAACTTGCAGCCCCATAACCTGAATGAAGATAGAAGATGTAAGTTTATGAGGCAAAATCTGTGGTAAAATCATTTAAGGTTTGATAATTTGTTCAGAAGATTTGAAATGTTCAAGTTTAAAAAATGTCAAATCCAAACAGCTTGAGCCAACAGGGTGGAGGTTCAGACAAAAGGTACAAGTGAAAAAAAGAGCTCTCAATAATCTGACTGACGACATGCTGTTTGTTCACTGAAGAAAAAAGAAAAAAATAGGGTCTTGGAGAGTGGGGGTATGAAATTCTGACAAAAATCCTAATTTTTAGATCAAAATTGTGAAAAAAGTATTTACATTGCTTCAGTTTTAAAGATTTAGTTTGAAAGAAATGTATATATTTGAGGACACTTTTATACCAGACACATTTTAAAAGCTGGCAATTTATTTGTGTGTTATTTTTGTGATGTAACCTGCCAACAAACTCTGATATAATGCATCAAATGGCAACATTTATAGTAATATTGTATATTGGCCCTTGTTATTTAAATTGATTAATAATACTTTTTTTAAACTCAAATCTCCCTGAACCCCACCTAAACTTTGTCTGTGTCTTTCAACACACAAGCAGCAGCATGACCAGAAATGAGAGAAAAACAAGTCTGATTGAAAAACCTTTTGTATCAACGGACTCTTTGGCCACTATTGACAGACCTGTATAGCTAGCATTACCCAGCATGCCATTCAGCAGTACAATTTGTAAATGTGCAATGATTCCTGCCACAAACTGTTTCTGTTCCACAGATTCCTGTGTGTCATGACCTTTGTACCATGAAAACGAGTTACCTGTAAATGATTAATCAATGTGTTGTATACCAAGAGTTGATAGCAATAATGTTAATCAGGGTGGAGCCCAGATGTGGGCTGTTTGTCTTAAGATGAGTAACACAGTTTTAATGTTTGAAATGTGAACCATTGTTCTGCCACAGTTAAAGTGTTAATTAGGTTAATGTCAGGATATATGTGTAGGTTAATGGCAGCTTTCACATCATATATATCTAAGTACAACTAAAACATGGTGTCTGACCTGAGAGTCTCCAGTCTGCAATCTGAAGTCTTCAGATAAACACACAGCTGCTTCACTCCTGAATCCTGAAGGTTGTTCGTGCTCAGGTCCAGATGTTTCAAATGGGAGGGGTTGCACTGAAGGGCTGGAAGCAGATGATCACAGCTGATCTCTGACAAACTGCAGCGCTGCAATCTGCATAAGGAATTTTAAAAAATGTGTTTATTACTAAGAGTCTGTGCTTGAAAGCATCCAGTGTCATAATATGTCAGGAGCTGAAGAAGGTCAGCACTGAGCTAGGATAGTCCTGGTGAGCGGTTGGCACTAGCTCTCCTGGGGTTTTTTTGCTTTGCTTTTTCTAGATGTCATGCAGGTCTACCTCTGAAACTGCTGGTCAGTCATTCCTCACTGGTGAAAACATTCTTAGATCACTGTAACTGTGTGTGGCAAATACCTTCATTAAAATAACTAAATATGTAGCAATGTATTAAATTAGGCACTGATCACAAACTCCAACACTGAAATGAAAGCACTACAAACCCCAGTGAAGGTGTAAAGTACAACTTTAGCGCTGCAGTGGCTCTTTGTGCTTTCTGACACAAATAACTCGTCATCTTAGCTTCATCTAGTTTACTGTCACTGTTCAGCAGTGTCAGTTTGTAAATGTGCCAAAATTCCTGGTACAAACTATGTTCCCAAGATGTTTGTTAATCGACACTATACTATACTTAGACTATAAATACTGTACTATCCGGGATTAGGATCTAAGCACAGTTAAAATTTGGTGTCTAACCTCAGAGTCTCCAATAGACAGTGGGGATTCTTCAGAAAACCACAAAGATGCCTCACTCCTGAATTCTCCAAGATGTTGTAGCTCAGGTTTAGATATTTCAGATGAGAGGGGTTGGAATTCAGAGCTGAAGCCAGAGAGCTGATATCTGACAACCAACAGCTCTCCAACCTGAATAAAGAATGAAAAATGCAGATATCAGTCATCAGTGAGGTTCTCTTCAAGATTAACGCACAGAAGTTTTTATCATGGATTCTAAAATCATTATTACATCAGTCTTCAAAGTACAAAACTGTTAAAAAATGGTGGACACTAAATAAATATTGAAACAGCTGGATCTGACCATGTGACTTTATCTGTCTGCTGAGCAGAAGTCAAAGTACCAACATGACAGAGTTACCTGAATGTGTTTCCTTTATTCTTAAAATAGAAACAGTGGTCAGTTGATCTTTTTTCATTAGTATTTTCTACATGAACACTATTACGGTTTCAGTCCTAATCTCTACACTAGACTGAAGCTCTAAACCTGAAGTGAACTGAAGTGACATTACTGAGCTCAACGTCTGAGTTCATGAGAGCCTGAAATGGTCTGCTGAAGAATGTGACTGACAACTCTTTATAAAATGTTCTTTACACTCAAACTGGTCAGTAGTTTTTCTTTAAAGATTTAGTGCTGAAAAGATTCTCTATCTACAGAACAAATGATTTAGAACAGACTCTAAGGAGGCACTACTTCACAAACCATGGTATTCTGTCTGTCTGGTTAGTGAGGTTATATTGGGCTGGTAAAGGCAGCTTTCAGTCTGCTGTCAATGCAGATCTTCTGTTTTTTTATGACTTCTTGTGTTGTTATGTTGCTTTACAACAACATAAGCGATATTTGGTGCTATAATACTCAAAATGAGTTAAAACAGGATCATTTTTAGAGGAACAGAAACTTTAAAAAAAAAACTCTCAGCTTCCCTCTTCTTATAGTCTTTTTAAGAAGCCTCTCTCTTCTCCAGCTGTTTTTAAAAAATCCTCACATACATTCAGAATCCTGCTTTGCTGTTATGTTCCGGACTGTGTCAGGCTGCTGTTTTCTTTAACACATACATCACCAAAGCAGCTGTGTGGGTTGTCAAAATCTCTGTAGCCTGTTTTTATCTGCTATTTATCAGAGTGACTGACACCCCACACAGACTCTAACGCCTCATCACCAATCACCTCATCTTCTCTGACTGACTGAGTTTGACCTGTGGAGGCTGAACAACTGTAAAAATATCTCTCTACCATAACCTGACTTCTGTCAGCCTTTAACTGAACTTTGCTCAAGTCTGTCACGTCTGTTTGGAGCCAAAAGTAAAAATTATCGTTCAGCCATTTGGAAAAGCAAACATTTCTGAAATCAATACACTTCTATATATTTTTGTTCATACAAATTGTGAACCTTTATTAACCAAGAGTGTAAAACTTTGATTAAACAACAACAGCTCCAGTCAGCAAACTCACCTCAGAGTCTCTAGTCGACAGTCTGGACTCGACAGTCCAGCAGACAAAATATTTAGTCCTGAATCCTGCAACTTGTTTCCAGTCATGTCCAACTCCACCAGATTGGAGTTGTCGGATTTGAGAGCTGAGGCCACAATTTCACAGTGAGTCTCTGAGAGATGACAAGCTTTTAGTCTGTGACAAGAGAAAACATCAAATATGTTATTATAAAAGCAGGAATTTTGCATTGTAAACACAGACTTAGTGAATAGGAAGACAAAACAAAGTGATTTCATATGCAATATACAGATGAAAACAAAATTGTGTTACATTTAAACCATGATCATGTTCACATTTTGTCAGTGAAATCTGATCTTAGTCAATGGTAAATGGATTCATTCTTATATAGGACCTTGCTACTCTACTTGAGTAAAAGTTTTTCTACTCAAAGTGTTTTATAGAACCTGCCTCATTCACCTTTTCTATAACAATGTTTTAGATTATAAACTAAAGAAGAGAAACATTTGGACTGTTTCCTGTTTTTAATTTGGCTCCAGAAGATTTTGAATAAAGTCAGTTTAATGGAAAGATTCACCTGTAAATGGTAAATGGCCTGTATTTGTATAGCGCTTTACTAGTCCCTAAGGACCCCAAAGCGCTTTACATATTCAGTCATCCACCCATTCACACACACACATTCACACACTGGTGATGGCAAGCTACATTGTAGCCACAGCCACCCGTGGAACTACTGATCTAATCTGATTAATTGTGTTAATGATCACAGCAGGACTCACAGAGCCTTTCTGCAGTTGCTCACAGCTGGAATCAGTCTGTGTCGTCCTTCATCTGATGTGTTGAACTTCTGCAGGTCCAACTCATCCAGAACCTCCTCCGACATCTGCAGCATGTAGGTCAGAGCTGAGCAGTGGATCTCACAGAGTTTTGTCTCTGATTTCACGAATTCTTGGATCTCCTGAAACACTGAGCTGTCATTCATCTCAATCAGACAATGAAAGATGTTGATGCTTCTGTCAGGAGAAATTTGAGAACGTCTCATCTCTTTTAGGTTGTTGATGATTTTCTGGATAACTTCTGGGTTGTTCTCTGTCTGACTCAGCAGACCTACTAAGAGTCTTTGGTTGGACTCTAGTGTGAGGCCATGCAGGAAGCGAACAAACAAGTTCAGAGTGCCATTTTTACATTGGAGGGACTTTTCCATGACTTTGCTCAGAAAAATGTCCAGAGATGTCTCGTTATATTCTTCCCCCAGGACTTCTTTTAGTACCTCTGTTTTCCTGTTGGTGTAACAGTGAGACGTGTAAACAGCAGCCAGAAACTCCTGAATGCTCAGATGAACAAAGGAGTAGACTGGTTTTTGGAAAATCACACACTCTCTTTTAAAGATTTCAGTAAAAACCCCTGAATTAACTGAGGCCTCTGTGACATCCAGACCACACTTTTCCAGGTCTTCTTGGTAGAATATGATGTTTCTTTTTTTCAGATTTTCAAACGCCAGCTTCCCCAGCTTCAGAAGAACTTCCCTGTCAGCATCCGTCAGCTCCTGTGGACTCGTCTCATGTTCTTTTTGGCACTTGTGCTTATTCCTTTTTGTCTGAACCAGTAGGAAGTACGAGTACATGTCTGTCAGGGTCTTTGGTAGCTCTCTTCTTTGGTCTGTATTCAATATGTACTCAAGGATTGTGGCAGTGATCCAGCAGAAGACTGGGATTTTACACATGACATTGAGGTTTTTGGATTTCTTAATGTGGGAGATAACTCTGGACAGCTCTTTCTCACTAAATCTCATCCTGAAGTACTCCTCCTTCTGAGCGTCAGTGTAGCCTTGCACTTCTGTTACCCTGTCAACACATTTAGGAGGTATCTGATTGGCTGCTGCAGGTCGGGTAGTTATCCAGATGAGAGCCGAGGGAAGCAGATTCCCTTCTATGAGGTTTGTTACTAACTCGTTGACTGATGATGTCTGAGTAATGTCAGAAACAATCTTCCGGTTAGTGAACTCCAGTGAAAGTCGACTTTCATCCAGGCCATCAAAGATGAACAAAAGTTTACAAAGAGTGAGTTTCTCTCTGGTGATTTTCTGTAATGTTGGATAGAAAACATGGAGCAGCTCCAGAAGACTGTACCGCTCATCTTTAACGAGATTCAACTCCCTGAATGAAAGCAGAATCACTATGTTGATGTCTTGGTTTTCCAAGCCCTCTGACCAGTCTACAATAAATTTCTGCACTGAGAAGGTTTTTCCAATGCCAGAGATTCCGTTCATCAGAACCACTCTGATGGGTCTCATCAGGTGAGGCAAAACTTCAAAGAGTTTGTGACACTTGATTGTTGGGGCATGGACGGTATCTGTTTGTGAAGTTGTCTCCAGCTGCCTCACTTCATGTTGAGTATGAACCTCTTCACTCTGTTTGTCTGTGATGTAAAGCTCAGTGTAGATCGTGTTGAGGAGGGTTCCACTTCTTGAGTCACCAAATCCTTCAGTCACACGTTCGTATTGTCTCTTTAGGTGTATTTTATGTTCATTTAAAATCTCCTGCAGACCAACATCTGCTGTTAAAAAAGAGCAAATATAACAAAAAAGAAAACAGTTATGCTTTTATTACATCTAACCATAACATTATTTAAATGGTTTGCAATAAGATTTTTTGAGATTTTTTTAGACATTTTTAGACATTTTTAAGAACACATTAGATACGTTTTTTTTTCTCTCAGACCCTCGAGATGTGTTCCTGTGTTTATGTGGAGAACAATTTAATAAGAAATAACAACGTCTGCTAGTCAGCTTACAAAAACACAGCATTTCCATTTCACAGTAAAAGCTTCCATGTGTGAAAACCTTTATTGTGAAGGAGCAGAAACAGTCTGATTTTCATCAGTAGTAATTAGCAAAGTTTTTACATCATATGACAAATTTTGAAATAGTCTGTGTGTTATAGCTAATGATGATAATTACTGCTGATTATTATGATTACTACTCTGGCTGCAGCTTGATGTCAGCTGTGCAGTGACCTGTTCCCAAAAGCATGTTTAACTAAACGAGTCCAACAATAAACTCTGAGGTCAATGAACCAACTCTGATCAGCTGTTTTGTCAGAGAAATTATTAAGTTATTCTATTTATTATTATTCTAATGTTGGCCTGCTAAATTAATCCCAGTAATGTATATGTTTCATGTTTTAACATGTTAAATGACAAAAAAATGTTCAGAGCATGCTCACTATAAACTTCATGGATAATGAAAAAAGCTATCGTAGCTCTGATGCCATAGTTGTATTCAAACTGGGATCACAATTGTAATGTATAGTAAATGATTGAATGCAGCAAAAAATCTAACTGTTGCCTTGTTGGTCACAAAATTACAGAGATGCAGTCTATAGATCTTGTCTCTGCCTTTACATTGATGGCAGGTTGATATAAAAAGTGGTTTTGTTAAATATAAAACATATTTAACATCTAACTGGGATTCTACTGTTTGTATGTGTTTGTTAAGACATAAACTCGTTCAAATTTGTGTTTTGATGTAAGCTTTAATATTGACTGTCTGAATGAGGAAATGTGGAACAGAAAACCAGAGTTTCCTTCTTCAAGCAGGAACAAACTTAAAGTTTTACTAAACCTGCTTTCTAGAACATGCTCAGCTTTTCTTGGCAGAAGTGTGTTTTGTCTTTATTTTTGTTTTGTTTCGTTTTTGTTTTGTTTTGTTTTTTCTGTTTTTGTTCAGCAAGTGAATCTGCTGAGCAATTCGTGTGAAAATTAGGGAAGCGCAATTACAGAAAAACCTGCTGTGGGCTGTTGGTCAAAGTCTGTGGCTCTTGTTTAGAATGATTTATGATGTTTGTTTCTGATACACAATGTTCTTTTGTCTCCATTTTATTATTTCACATGTCTGAGCTCACTGTGAACCTTCATCAGATCATCTTTTCTATTAACTGTAATGTTTGGCCTGCAAAGGGTCTTGTTCTTGTTACTTTGTTGGCAGTTGCCAAACAATGAAATTGTGCATTACCACCAACAACTGTTATGCAATGTGGACTGAAATGTTGCTGATAAAAAATATTGCAAATGTTTATGGGAGATGAAGTCCTTATCTAAGCACTTTCATCAAGTCATATGACAGCTGACAGAGAAAGCAGAATAGAACCTCTCTGTTGAGAAAAACTCAGTAAAACTGAGATTTATTATTGTACATATGAAGAGAGAACTGGTGGTTATGGTTAGTTATACTTTCAGATAATCCTTATATAATGTGGCTAATTCATCCAAAAATTAAGCACTTCAGTTTAGGAGAGGGGATTAGAGATGTGCCGTACTCAGAATATAGCTATCCACCATCAATGAATTTTGTAGTGCTTTCTTTCTAAAGATAGACACAAGTATTCCAGTGTGTGCCAAAATGTTACACAAATTGTAATCCTGCATTTTTTTTGATTAGGGCAGTCTGTATCTGTAAAACTGATGGTCAAAGAACATCACACTCTGTCAAAACTTTTAACTTTTCAGTATGTAAGTGGGCAGCTTGGTGCTATTCGCTGCACGTGCTTTCACTCCTTGGATTGTTAGAGGTCAGTCAGTGACGGGGGTGGGGCAGGATCCTGATGTTGTGCAAACCACAAACTGGGAAAGTGGGAGTGGGATGACATTTTATTCTGGTGTCCTGTTTATTTTAAGTATCTAATCCCTGAGCAATGTAGGATTAATTCACGCCTTATAATATAGTAATACTATCTAAACATGTTAAAAAATCAGCCAATATTACCTTTTTATTATGATATATTATTATGATAATATTTGGTAGTAGAATACTGGTTTAACTCTTTTTCTGCAGCTCCAGTTTGTTTTTAATTATTTTCAATCAACTTGCCAATAAAAGCCTGTGTGTCTTTATTACACAATAACACTTATTAAAGATCGACATTTCCACCTGGAGAACTCAGTTCACTTCCCTCGGTCCCTCCACTATGCCACATTAAGTACCGAGGATGTATTACATAACTCTGACTGTAACAGTTTTTCTCAGAAATGAGTCCATGAATAAGCAGATGCTTAATCCTACTTTGTAGACAGCTGCTCTTACTGGATATCTGCAGTTGTGCTTCAGTCCTGGATTTTTCTGGTCCACAGCTGGTAGAGACCGGATCCTCTGAGATCGCCTTCCTCTCTCTGTGAACACATTTTTTAATCGTTAAAGTCAATTGTTTATCAGTTTAAAAAATGGATCAAAATTTGACAACACTGTGCAGACGGTCTGATGGCCAAAAGAGGAACGAGAAAAGGGAAACACTTTTTAAGATGAAGAAAACTAGAGCTTGAATCATCAATGTGATGTTTGCTTTTGATTTCATCAACAGTAATAAAGTGCTTTCCCTGTCAGCCTGTCTTACCTAACACTGATCTGTGTCCAGTTTTCAACAACTACAACCTCAGCCAGGTGTAGTGATTGTGAGTGCAAGGAAATAATTATTATAATAGAATGTGTTAAATTTGCTTAGATGAGAGGGTCCAGCAGATCAGAGGAATAGGGAAGGATTTGTCTGTGTGCTTTAGTTTGGTTTAATTGTAGACCTGAGAGTGTGTAATCGTGTAGAGGGAAAGGAATTTATGGACACTGGGTGTCTGCTGTCATAAAAGGAGACAGGAAGCTACAGTTGGGGGTTGCTGATGCTTGTACCTTTAATAAAAGCTCATAATTGTCATAACTTAGAAGTAGGTTTGCAGGAGACTCTCCACATGCTTAGCTGTAAAAGTAAGACAACAAGAGGCCAATGGCCCAGTGGATGCAGAGTGGGGGTCTCAGTGCTTGTAATCTGTTAACTTTTTTTGTAGAGGAATGTGGTTTAGCTTCCATGAGGGGAGATTACTTTTATGACCGGCAAGAAGTCACATACACAGAGACACACACACACAGTGCTTTGATTGTTACGACGCACACACACAGACATACACACACACACACACACACACACACACACACACACACACACACACACAGAGCTTTAACTGTTACACTCACATACCCATACGCACACTCACTCACGTGCACTCACATAAATACACAGGTACTCACGTGCTCGCACGTACACACACAAACACAGAGTTTGCATCGTCTTTCACTAGCGTAAAGAGCAGTAGGGAAGACGATATACTTCAACTAACAGCTGAATTTCATTTGATTAAGCTGACTGTGAATATTTTATTTGTTTGGAAACAAAGTTGTGGGGAGTTGCTTCGTTGTATACTAGCAGCATTAGTCCTCTTAATGCTTCCTTTGTCTTTCACTGAGTATTTTGTATGTGAGGATCATTTATTTTACTCACACTTGTTTAGGTAGTGATGTTGCTGACATAAACATATACATTTAACATAAAATATATTATAATCTTGTGCTGAAACCGTTTTAATTTGAAAATAAAAATGACCTCAGTAAGAACTGGACTAATAGGGTGTACTGTTCACATAAAGGTCAAATTTAAATGGACTCGTGGTTACACACTGAGGGAGGATGAGAAAATCTTACGAGAAAAACTGAGTCTTACGTTGTGTCTGAGGGTCCAGGTTCATCCCTGAAGTTTAAAGGATCAATTCTGGAGCTGTCACTTCTCATAGAAGGACAGCTGGATCCTGCAGACTCTGCTCCACTCTTTTCTTCAGACTCTGCTCCACTCTTTTCTTCCTCAACACAAATGTTCATCTTGTGAACTTCTGAAAGTCAGTCTGAGAGGTAAACCAGAAACAGTGAGTTCACATTAGCAGAGGTTATTAAGTTACGGTCAGATTTGTCCACTAAGCCAATTTCAGAATTGTCATGTAAACTAAAACCAGATCATCATGATACACAGGGAATAGAGAGAAACTAGTTTGTGCAGGCACTAGTTTGTGGATGCTGCTATGTTAACCTGCTGTGTTGAATACATTGGCTGAGATGGGCAGTATCATTACCTCAATCACATTTTATGAATGTACCTAGAGACCAGCCATACAGGTACTATGCCAAAGTCAAAGAAGCAGAAACCTGTAGGTGTTCAGACCATAGAGGAAAACCTTCAGACTCAAGATATGAATCATACCGATGTTGTATCATCTGAGAACGGGCTCCCTTTACCAAAGACAAGAAAACATGGGACAAAAAAAGAGACGACTGACAGTATACTGATATACTGACCAACAAATTGTCATCCTCTTCCTCCTCACCTCAATCTTTATCTTCTGAAGTGAAGTCGGGGCTCTAATACACAAAAATGTGCATAAACATGTATGTTTATGGTGTTGCAAATACTACAACCCGGACAACAACCCAGCTTAAAAATAATAAATAATAAATAAATAAAATTTTATTTATATAGCACCTTTCAAGATAAAATCACAAAGTGCTTTACAAAGGCAGAAAACAGACATTAAAACCCCAAACAAAACAAAATCAACCAAAAGCAAGTTTAAACAGATAGGTTTTTAACTGTTTTTTAAAAGACATGACTGAGTCCACAGATCTCCAACTCAAAGGGAGCGAGTTCCAGAGTCTGGGAGCACTGATACAAACGCTCTGTCACCTTTTGTTTTTAACCTTGTATGCAGGACAGCCAGCAACCCCTGGTCACAAGACCTCAGGGACCTGCTGGGGTGATAGGGAAGAAGAAGATCACTTATGTAAGTTGGAGCTACACCGTGCAGGGCCCTATAAGTCATGATTATGATCTTAAAATGGACCCTGAACTTGACTGGGAGCCAATGCAGTTGAATCGGCAGGGGAGTGGCTTGGGAGTATTTGTGATGCTTTGTCAGAAGCCTAGCAGCAGCATTTTGAACGCCCTGCATTCGTTCCAGGGAGGCATTACTTAAACCTTAAACGAGGAATTACAATAGTCTAAGCGAGATGAAACAAAAGCATGAATAATCATTTCCAATTCGGAACGTGAGACAATGGGACTCAGCTTAGCGATATTTCTTAAATGGTAAAAACAAGAGCGAACCAAAGATTTAACGTGTGTGTCCAGCGTCAGAGCTGGATCAAATGTAACACCGAGGTTCCTAATGTATGATTTAATATAGGAAGCAAGAGGGCCTAGATTTTTAACCACGAGGGGAACAAATTTCTCAGGAGCAAAGACAATGACTTCCGTTTTATCAGCATTTAGTTGAAGGTAATTACCAGCCAGCCAATCTCTAACGGAATCTAAGCAGGACTGTAATATTTGTAGCTTAGAAACATCAGGTGGCCTAAAAGAGATATATAGCTGAATATCATCTGCATAACAATGATATGAAATATCAGAGAAAGAGCTAAGAAGTTGCAGAAGAGGGAGTAAATACAACAAAAACAATAATGGTCCCAAGACAGAGCCCTGAGGCACCCCATAGGCAAAAGAGCTGACGGAGGATCTGAACTTAGAGGTAGCCACAGAGAAAGATCGATTTGACAAATAGGATTTAAACCATTCCAATGCGGTACCCGATACACCCACCCAGTGGTTTAATCTATCTAACAAAATAAGATGATCAACAGTGTCAAAAGCAGAGATCAGATCCAGCAACATCAAAACAGTGCACTCTCCAGCATCATAATTCATCAAAATATATTTAGACACTCTAAAAAGTGCAGTTTCGGTAGAGTGAGCCTTACGAAAGCCAGATTGAAATTTATCAAGAACGTTGTGTTCATCTAGAAAATCCGTGAGTTGCTTGGCCACAACCTTTTCTAAAATCTTGGCAATAAAAGGCAATTTTGAGATGGGTCTGTAACTGGAAAGCAAAGAAGGATCAACTTTAGGCTTTTTTAGAAGTGGGTGAATGACAGCACTTTTACAGTAAACAGAGACCTGACCAGAGAATAGAGATGCATTAATAATTTTAAGAACACTAGGACCAATAGACTCAAAAACATTTATAAGTAAAGACCCAGATAAAATATCAAGGGGGCAAGAGGATTATCTCATTGAAGTGACCAGCTTCAACGACTCAGGTAAAGACACTGGTGAAAATCTTTCAAATCTGACAGGCTTAAGTAAAATCGGAACCAGCAAACAGCTGGTTAAGTGAACATTATGCCAGCAATTTTTAGTCTGAGTGTCCTAAAAATCATTTTTTTCACTCTCATAAACTTCTTTGTCCAATTTCACATCGCATGACAGTTTTTTGCTAATTGAAAAACAAGGTTGAGACATTTAATTTGAATTGGTTAAAAAGCAGAAGGATAAACCAGACTTAGCAAAGGACCACTTTTTTAAGTCTGTGGGCACTTTGTTACTGGCAGCCTGCCACACTATCACAAAAACTTAAATTATTCCAATTTTAATAACTTAATTTCAATAATTTAAAGAAATTACAAGAAAGCTTGTCTAAGCGAGTTCACACTATGTTGAAGGATAAAAGTGGCCGTGCCAAGTAGGTCTAAGGAGCTGTTTGTTTAACAGTCTTTTGTTTGTAAGTCGAAACATATCAACAGGCCTGAAATTAAAATCTTACTGTTAAAGAACATTTGCATGGTCTGTGTCACTTGTCAAGCATGATTATTGTTTTAATGATCTAGTGGTGAAAACCAGTTCGACCACAATCCTAAATGTTCTTCCTATGTGTGGAAAAGAATCAACAATTTGTCTTACAGTCAGCACACTGTGTATATAGTTTATACCTCTTGAACCAGTTCCACACAGCACAGAGCATAAAGCAGATAACACACACTCACTCAGTTTGTGCACCCGCTTTGGATGTTATTAGTCCATACAGTGAGCGTTATTTAGCAGAGCTCAGCCCCTATGGCCCATATCTGCCAGCTTTCTCTTTCCATTTACAACAGATCAGATGGTCTCTCTCTCTCTCGCTCTCTCTCTCTCTCTCTCTCTCCGCATTTTTATTGAATCTTATTTTTAAGAGCCCACAAAGAGCTAAACTGACTGCAAAGCATTTAAACATAGTCTGAACATTAGTGCAGTTCACTTTTTATGTTTTTTAATTATTGTATTTTAGGTCTTATTTAGAGACGGGATGTTGGCAGATGTTGTCATAATAATGGGAAATAAAGAAGTACAAATACTTACTGTATTTTAGTAGAGTTGTCATGAATTACTGGCTGTGTGACCCAAATGAAGGCTGATGAGACGCGCTGACAACATAAAGTGAAAATGCACCTTTACTGAGCGGGTAGATAGTCCAACAAGCAAAATTAAAAACACATTTGGGAGAAAAATCAATACTAGTACCACTAATTACTACTAGTAGTAGCAGCACTCCTATACTACTATTAATAATAGTAACAATAGTCAGGATCCTATTGTGGTGGCTTACCTGTGTCAGTTTATCCTTTTGCTTTCTCTCTTTGTGGGTGTGTGTTTGCTGTGAGTGAACATTAAACCACGCCTGTATCCTCTTCTGACGTCCAACAACACAAAAACAAATATTTCCTCAGGCACTCCCTTTAGCAAGAGACTTTTTTCAGAATCATCAGAATCATTGTCTAAAGGCAAAGAAAGATGCCCAACGGATTTACTTTACCAAATGGACCATCCCAGTCTTGCCGTAATGGCCTATTTGATTCAGCTTTTATTGTTAATTTTATTTTATTTTTACTCGCTAAATACGGGACAGACTTGACTGGGGAAAAGAAAAGGGGAGAAAGAAAGAGGGAAAGAAAAACAGCGGGGAAAAGGGACAGGGATAAAGGGCAAAAAAACAAAAACCAACAAAATAAGGAGACAAAAAATACATCTATCAATCACCTGGATCACCTGTTGAGAAAGAAAAAAGAGCAACATAATAAACAACATCATGATGATATATGGGAATGTAACAGTAAATACTAAATATTAAACATTATTGTGCAGCACGTAAGATCAACAGCACACAGTCTACTTTGAGGAGCCAAAAAGGGTGTAGTTGTAGCTTGTATTTAAAAGGTTCTTTCATGTAATGATCTGCTAGAGGGTGTGGGGGGCCACAGCCCCGTCCTCCAGGGCATGAAGCAGGTGTGGAGGAGATCAAAACTCCAGACATCCAGAGGCCCCCAGAACACAAGAGACCAAGGAAGACCAACAGAGGGGCAGCTGCGCCACTGTCCCAGAAAGAGCTGAGGAGAGTCCCAGATGAGGGCTCACTCAGCAGCCACGGAGCAGAAGCAAGGGGGGGTTGCAGGTTGCAGAAAATTAATTCATCTTAAACAGTGTTAAGAGTGTATTTAAAAGAACCTTTGTTGTTGTAACATTTTGAAGCTAGCAAAGTATAAAGCCAGTACCATATATGAACTGGTTAGCCAGTTTTTATGGAGGTTTCAATAATTGGTCAATTTCAATTAAATATCAGAAACTGAGAAAACTGAGAACATTTTTCTCAGACTTTCTTGTTTGTCAAGAGTGTGGACCACAGGCCAGCTCCACTGGGGTTTGTTGAAATGTACCACGTTGTCCTTAAAGAGTGAGAGATCTAATCAGGAGGTCAGAACTGAGTTGGCATGGTCCCTTGGCGTTGGAGTTGTGAGTTTTTCTGTGTTAGATTGATTTTGACAAAAACAGTCAACACTGGATTTGCAGTTTATTTGTTTTTAAAATCTGAGTTTACCTACTGTCCTTTATTTTAGTATCAGTTTAGCTGTACAAACAGCCATGAAGGTACTTAAAAAGTAACTCTAACCAGCTGTAATCACCACAACACAGTAAATATTACATTTGGATTATGTGTGTGGATTATGTGGACTGTGTGCACTGGTTAGAATTTATTCTCATGTTCCAAGTTCTACCTCTCTCTCTCTCTCTCTCCCTCATGTTGCCCTGTTTCCATCTTCTCTCTAATTAAGCCCACATGGCTGATTTGATACCAGGTGCAGGTGTTCACAGGGCTGTTACCTGCCTTTGGACTTCCTTTTGTCTCATGTCTGTTTCAGCAGGTTCCATCATGAAGTTGTGCAGGTAAATTGGATACTTTTGGTAACATTAATCATAAAAGCCTGTTCCCCTTAGGGAAAGCTACATTTCTAAAATACAAACAAATCTCTCTGCAGTCCAGTGCTCCATGTGAAATGACATGTTACAGGATCAGCATTACCAGGATTGGCAGTACCATGTGTCTGGTGATTGTCATGTTTCTGTGGATTCTGACCATTTCCAGAGGAGGTGAGTGAAGCATTCACTAGCACCAGCTGAGTCAGACTGAGAAATGGCTCACTTTAATATTTCCCTTCATGTTACTGCAAAATATTTTATGTGCAAAACTTCATCAGTCATTAACAGTCTTTTTATCTGATGTTTCAGATACTGAAGTTTCCTGTGTTTTCATGACAACGTGCATCTTACCGTGCACTTTCCAGGGAAACACTAGAGGAGTATACATCCACTGGATGCACTTGTCAGAGGGACACCCTCTTGTATACTTGTACTATGGCAACAAAGACCAGCTCAGAACTCAGGACCAACAATTCAGAAGCAGGACGTTGCTGTTCCAGGACCAGCTCTCCAAAGGAAACGCCTCACTCCAGCTGACAGGGGTGCAGGTTCAGGACGAGGGCAGATACAGCTGCTACATCAGCACCATTAATACAGAAAAGGATTCATTTATCAACCTTAAAGTGCACAGTATGACAAATCTGAGGTTTTGGGGGATTTTCTTTTCTTTTAAATGCTCGATATTTCAAAAGATTTATACCAACCTCTAATATATGTAGCAGTTGTAGTGTTACGTTGAAAAGCCACAGGTTTACTCTGTATTTTTCAGCCCCAGTCAAAGTCAGCATTCAGCATGTAGGAAACAGGATCACCTGCAGCTCAGAGGGCATCTACCCTAAACCTGAGCTCACCTGGTCAACCAGACCTCCATCCAAGGTGAGCTTCAAGAATACAACAACAGTCGAGCAGACCAAGCAGCAGCTCTACAACATCAACGGTTCCTTGATAGCTTCACTCAATGAAAGTGATCGAGTCTACAGCTGCACTGTGAGCACTCAGAGGAACAGGAGGAGAGCCAGTCTGAGGCAGCTACGTGAGTATGACCTCACATATGAGCTAGGAAATGAGGTTGAAAGCTGCTTATTGTTGAATACTGAAACACGTGCATTAGATTTACACAGAAGCACTTCATGTGTAGGCTGTTCATCTATACCTGGCACATGCTCAACCTTCTTCTGTGTTGTTTCAGCTTCAGTTACTGGCAGCTTCACTGAAACCACAATCCCCTGCCCCAGCTTTAACACTTCTCCAACAAGCCTCATTTGGAGATTCCGTAATTGTGCAATTTTGGAAAAGACTGGGTCTGGTTCCAACTACACAGTCTCAAAGGAGTGGAAGCAGCATGTGAAGGCTGTATCAGAGTTGGGAAGCCTCACATTACTGGGCTTATCTTCAGAGAAGGAGGGAATATACACATGTGAGATTAGTAATGCTGAGGAGATGCTGATTAATTACACCATTATTCGAATAAGTCAAGGTAAAGGAATTTATGTTGCATCCTTCTAATCCACAAAAGCAAGAATCATTCAAAACTTTTAAAATCTCTTTGACGTACAAACAAAATAAACATATTGAGGTATCCAGGAGAAATTTAAAAATTAGATTCTTTTACTGTTTCAGGAAATACACACATGACTATTATAGCAATTACTGCAGGGGTGGTAGTACTCGTATGCATCCTATCGTCAGTCTGCCTGGTGCTGTACTGCAAAAAGAAAAGAGGTAAAAGTACATTCTGCCTGTACTACTGAAATAATTTGTATATTTGTATCAATCTTATGGATTCAAAACATGTCTCAGGTCAGCAAGAAAACAGCATGACAGCGTCAGAGAGTGGTGAACCCAACATGTAAGTAAATATTGTGAATAAAAATGCACACCGTGCTATTAGTTATCATATTGGAGAACATTTTTATCATGGAGTTAGGACCAGTTTTCTCACACATGAATCTAAATATTCCCTAGAGCCAGTTTAGTCAAATAAAAATTCCCTACTTGAGATCTTACTTTGATGAATTCAGCTTAGCCAAAATAATTTCAGTAAAAAGTTCCAAAATAAGAGTTCAAAAACTCCAGTCTGACAAATGGAAATTCAAACAATAAAGATGAATTCTAATTGTTGTGATGCTTTTACCTCAATTTCAGTTAACAGAGAAGTTGAACTTCATGGATTTAAAGAAGCAAAGTCTCCTGTGAGCTGTTAATACACCAAACGTCCCTCTGATTCATCCAACTAAAGATTGCATAACTTAATAACTGAATTTTAAGAAATGTTTGATATGTAAGAGTAAACCACAGCAAGATGAAGAAAAAAATGATCTTCTGCAGTGGGAAGCCAACTGTCAGCCAGGCACATGAATGTTTTATGCAGTAAAATAATGTGAAAGGAAGCTATTCGGCTTCACATTTGATTGATGGAACTGGAAGTGACCTCATCCCAGTTACCACTATGACTGAGATATTTTACACTTTCACCTACAAACTGCATGATTTTAATGACTAGCTGCAGGTTTTATTGTCATAATAAAAATGTGATGGACAATCAGGTTTTTGACTTTTTAAAATATTTTTGTATTTAGTTTATCTATTTACATCTGTGTTTGGGTTTCTAAGATAAGAGCATTGATATATGCATGCTGGAAAGATTTCTATGGGACTACAAAATTATGACAACAGACTACTACGGGTACCAAAGATTTTGTAACCATCTACATCACCTCAGTCATTACCAAAGGCAATTCTATATGTGCTTAACTTTTCAGCTATGTCCAACATTTGGTCCATACTGATCATAAATACAAGTTCTATAAACACCACATCTGCTGAGGCCTACTGATACGGATAAGCCTTGAAGATCAAGATTCAATTTTATTTTTACAGTGCCAAGAAACAACAGTCGCCTCAAGGTGCTTTTTATTGTTAGGTAGACCCTACAATACACAACGATTAAATGGCTGGACCAAATTTTTCTCTCAAAGCAACATGAATGAGTGAAGAGTGAAGCAGGTGACTGACAGGAGGACGGATGGAGCATCTCCAGTGATCTGGGCTCTGTGTTGATGTCCTGTGTTTCCTTCTGTAATCAAACAATAACAAGGGTCTTTGCTCTCCATGTGACACTAATATTTGGATTAAAACTTTAAGTCGCTGTCTTTACACACAGCTCTTTTCACACCGGTGTGCTGGTCCTCTCCAGTCCCAGCATATACACTATATGGTCAGTGATGACACTTCTGTGACATCATTGACCATGCGGCTCATAGAGGTGCCATTTAACCCCAGTGTAGTTGGTTTCATGGTGTTTCTTGGTGTGTCACATGTGTTTCATGGTGGTCTTACATGTGTACTTGACCTGACAGAATTCAGGTCAAGTACAAGTGTTAATGGAGCTGATTATCATGGTCCAATAAGAGCACTAAAATCTGAGTATTATGCTGTACATAAATGAATTTGAATGGAGTGAACTGTTGAGCAAAAGACCTTCCACACTGGTCCCAGCTGAATCATTCAACTTCAGCGTACATGATAAAATTCAAATTGTTTTTCTAAGCAGTGAGGGAACTTTGGAAAATGAGCGAAAGATGAAGTTCAATTCTGTATTTTAAACCCATTTGACTAAAACATTAATTCAGTTTGATCAGGACTGCACAACCTTTACACTGCAAAAAATGTTTTATTTGGGTTTTGGGCAATCAGACTCCCATTTTCACTGTCCAATGCCCTGAATAAAGAGTAAATATGTAAAAACAAAAATGGACACGAAGATAGTTACAAACAGGATGCAATGATTTAAAAGCTTCTAAAGACATGTTTTACACATGATAAAATGTTGAAAACAAAAACTGATAAAAAAATGTACAATTATAAGAAAAAAAGAACATTTTGAATTTTATGGCAACAACACACCAATAAACTGGGGCATGGACCTCATTAATGTAGCAACTAGCAGCTTATGCTAACAATAAAATGATAGTGTTAATTTGGCAGTTTGTAGCATCAACAGACAGTGTTCATGCAACAGTTTTATGTTAAATGAACACCAGAGAACCAGAGAAAAATCTACCAGCAACAAACAGTCAACGCTCACCACACCTATGTGACCAGCAACCAAACCAGAGTCCCAAGAAGCACAAGAAATAAACAATAGCTCAATAAACTTGCATGAACCACTATTAATCAACCAAGTATTGCTTTTTACTTACAAAATAACAAACAAAGTAAAAATACAGAGGTACCGTTTCAATCTGCTTGAAAGCTTTAACGAATGTATACAGGAACTCTGTCCCTTGTTCTCATATTTTGTTCGTCGAGTTGACCTGAAACACCTGAAGCGAAACGATAGTAACTGAGTTGGTAGCAATACTTCATGGTGCTGTGACCGCAGTAAAATCTTCTAAACAAGTGTTACACAAAACATAACTGAAGTCAGTGAACAGCAATAGATTTGCACCAATATCTGATCCAACTTGTTGACTCATTTGGATCAGACTGATCTACCAACCAAACGTAGAACTGGTGCATTTCTAGTCACAACTTTAAGGTTTTGCTTTACTGTGGATGGGCTGATGTTGTTTCAAGTGACCCTTCACAGTAAAAGACTTCCCACAGTTACCACACATGAATGGTTTAATTCCTGCATGGATGAGTTGGTGTGATTTTAAGTTCCTTTGCCGAGTAAAACACTTTCCACACTCATCACAGGTGAATGGTTTAACTCCAGCATGGATAAGTTGATGTGATTTTAAGGCACTTTGCCGAGTAAAACACTTTCCACATTCACCACAGATGAATGGTTTAATTCCTGCATGGATGAGTTGGTGTGATTTTAAGGCACTTTGCCGAGTAAAACACTTTCCACACTGGTCACAGCTGAATGGTTTAACCCCAGTGTGGATGAGCTTATGCCTCGTCAAGTTACTCTTTGTAGTAAAAGATTTTCCACAGTCAACACAAGAGAAGCATCTTTTCTTATTGTGGAAACATTGGTGTCTCCCGAGCTGCCTCCTTGTGATAAAGCTCTTTGCACAAAGACCACAAGTGAATGATTTCTCTCTCTTTGCTTGTGTGAGGTTAGCATTGTCATCATCGGAAGAGTGCCGAGGTCTCTGTCGGTTGTTGCTTCTTTGTTCCTGTAGTGACAGAGAAACAAACCAATGAGATGCAGTAAAGGAAAAAGGGTAACCTATGATGTGGATGAAGTTAATGCAGTTTGATACCAGAGTTATCAAACTACACTGTGCAGAGTTACTAGCATCTATATAAGACTCTGCTCAGGTACATCGATTCATATATTTTCTTTTGTTTATCTAATTCAGGGTAGCAGTTAGGCTGAAACCTATCCCAGGTGACCCTGGTTGAGATGGGAGGTACACACTGGACACCAGTCCAGTACACCAATCAATTGCAGAGCGAACACAGAGAGACAAACAGCCATTCACACCTACAGCCAGTTTACAATTTCCATTTAAGGAAGCCAGAGTACCCGGAGAGAACCCATATACACAAGGGAAGAACATGAAGACTTCATTCCAGTGGATTTGAACCCAAGGATCTTTTTGATGTTAGGCGATTGTGCTAACCACCACCGGCCACCCTCAGACACAAATAATAAATATTTATTAGGTTTATCGATTTCAATTTCTCCCACTTTACTTTTGGAATAGTCACTGTGGGTTACCTGTGTCAAAAGGTTCATTTAAAAAACATAATTTAATCTTAAGTTTGATGAAAATGTCACTTAAAGTACAGAGTTTAAAATCTCACTGCTACATGTCAGCAGCAGACTGCAGTCAACTAAATTCTGTCTTCTTATCCCTCCTACTTTAAGTTCATAGTGCTACCTATCACGGCCGCTGTAGGACAAACATCTCTATCTGTAGCGAGTGTAGGCTGTCATGTCAGTCTGACGTTTACATCACCTGGTGTCTGTCTGCATTTACTCTGGAGGAGGATGTAAATCTTTGTAAAAGGAGTCTGATAGTCAGTGAAGCTCACCTCTGACATGTGACAGCAATAGGGAGTAGAGTTGTTGAGAATATTCTGTCCGTTTCTTTGCAAGCTCCTTTGATTCTGTCCGTAAGTGTTGCTGCGAGCTGGCCAGTGTTAAGCAGTTCTACAAACATTTCTTAAAAGTTCTTCAAACTCAATCGAACAATGCTGGACTCAGACACTTAGGAAACAAACTCTCATACAATCTGAAAGTGTAATGTGGTCAGCAGAGGAAAAGATTCTTATTTATTCCAGATATTGTTACAATTTCCAATTTCTCTGCAGATTAGGCATCTGACCCTCACCTCAGCATAGCGGTCACAGGAGTGAGTCTCACTGACTCCCTCTAAATAAAATCCATTCAAAGTTTTGCCTCATCCACAGTAAATAGTGGATGTTCCACACCTGGCATTATGAAGTAAACAGTGATCTGACAGCATGTGCCCACTAAATAAACGCCAGGCAGAACATTTGAAGTTACTCTGGGGTGACTGAGTAAAATAACATTTAAAATATCAAAAAATATTTAATTGTCACATATAGAGTACAGAGGGAAGATAATATAGTAGCTTCCACAAACCAGTGCCCAATTCTACGTTTATGAGAACGCATCAGTTTGTTGGAAGATGAAAATTATACACATATTTATGAGCAAAACATTCTGCTGTTATGTAATTGCAACAAAAGAAATACTTGCTGCACCTTTAAATGTAATTTAAATGCAGTTTATGAAGAATGTGAATAAGACATGCATTGTGCTTGACTTTTTTTAATTGACAAATATTCTTTTACTTTTACTGAATAAGTTACAGATTTTAAACAGCTGTCTAACAACAACAGATGTTCAACAGATACACACAATAACATTAACAAAAGAGATTTTTTTTACCTTCTGTGAAGAATCCATTCAAGTCTCCTCTTCCTATCACCAATCACCTGTGAGATTAAACACATTGGAATTACCAGCACCGATTAACCAACCAGCGGGCCAGATTAGAGTAATGATTTATGTTTGAAACCCCTGAGCTTCATGCAAATTTGACTGTTGGGACAAACATCCAACAAAACTCTGCAGATACATTTTGTGCATCCACAAATACCAGTTGAGGCAGATAATATAATTTGAAAATTAAACTGAATGCTAATTAATGCCCCTCAGTCCAGCAGGTCCAAATCCATCTGAACCCAAGAGCCAAGCTTTTGGGTCTGGGGGTGGCTTTAAAGAAGGTCATCCTGATCCCTCCCTGCAGGAATCACTTCTGTACAAAGTTCAACTTATTTTTCATCACAATAGCAACAGATCAGGTCTTAGTGAAAGCTGCAAGAGCATTCAGCAAACTAAAAGTCACAAAGGCTCTGAGACCGTACTCTCACAATCATAGAAATACCACTTATGTACAGTTTGGTTAAAACATTCAAATAATTGAAACAAATAATAGAAAACACCCTCACACAATAATAATACGTAGTTCTGATGGTTTCTGCTGCTTTTCCAGATTACTCCAGGAAAAAAAACAACCACAATCAACAATCACACCAAGTATTCAAAT